AGAACAATATCACTTTCCTATTCGATAATGATTGTATGTGCGCTTTTGATGCTCTGAGAGACTCTCTGGTTTTCTCGCTTGTGCTACAGTAGTACCGACAAGACCTTTAAAGCATAATAGTATAAGATTTTATAATAAGTATAATAAATCACTTATTAATATCTTACTAATTAAGGGATATATTGATGACTAATATATATATAATTGATTTATAATGAAATAGAATGAGATGAAATCATATGAAAAATTATTAACAAAACGAACTAAATGAATTAATTATAAGAATTAAGGCCTCAGCTTATTATATTTTACTCTTTCTCATAATAAAATCCTATTAAAAAATATTTTCCTATATAAATTAATTATTTTCATAATTCTATAACTATTTGAAGAATTAATTTGAAAATCATATCTTTATAAAAAAATTATATAGAGAATATTCGATTTAAATAGTTTTTAAAAATTATGAAAATTAATAAAGTTATAGGTTTTTTAAGTTGAAATTTTTCAAAATTTATAATATATAATACTTTTTACATATAAAAAAATCACTTTTTTCAAGTTTTTTAATACTTTCAATTTTAAGAATCTATAACTTTATTAAAAAAAATAACTAAGAATGTTTCATTTATTTTTCTTAATTCATTTTAATAGTTTTCAATCTTATATATTATTTTCATAAACTTAATTAATAAATTAATTGAATTAATATATAGTTTAAAAGTTGAAGAAATAAGTGTTTTTGATGTGTTTTCGCTTAACGGGCGATAAGTCAGGGTCTAAACTCTTACTTTCTTTTTATGATATAAATAATTCTATAAGATTCGATCTAAATCGATCTTATTTATAAGTATGAAAACTACTAGAATTTTATTATAAACTATATAAACCTAGGATATTTTTTAAAGAAAATCTAGGAAAAGCAAGTAAATTCAGATCAATTAAGCTTTTTCTTATAATTTGACTTCAATTCAACTCTCATATTATATATTCGATCTGTGCCTAAAAGCTAAAGTGACTAAGTCTTCTATTAATACTAGAACACTAATATTATTATTATTCTAGAGCTTATCCTCAAGAGATGGAAACAAAACCTCAGGCGCAATAGTTGTAATGTCCTTTCGCAAAAGCATAATGAAGATTGTTTTCCTGTATAATTCTATTTAGAGATAGTGGCTCTTATGTGGAGATTAATTATCAATTTCGTGATTAAAAGAGATTCTTTCAATCGTGAAATCGTTTGGATATTGGTGTGCCAAACTCACTAGCATACCACACTAAATTGATATTTATACTGATCGCAATGCGCTAGTCTATATTTTGACTGCGAAATCCTTGAACTCCAGCAAGCACAATGTGCCAAATTCCTTGCAGATTACAATCTTGTAATATCTTACCGATCAAGAAAAGACAGTCCTTTAGCCGGCGCCCTCACCTGTCGTACCAATGAAGTCAATGACTAAAATTGAAGGAAAAAGTTTCAAGGCCACCAGCAACTACTCAAAAATGCGAAAAATGATCCTCCTCTCACTCGCAAACTTCGACCAGGTCCTGCCGAGGAAGATCTTGTCAGAGCCCTAGATCTAATCCCGACCTTGCCAGATCTACGAATTGTTGATCGTATTCTACTTGCCAATCGCCAGATTGCTTTCTTGGAAGCTCTGTGGCAGCAAGCCCAGGAATGCGATAATCACTTTAGCCTCGAGGACGGGCTCCCATTGTGTAAAGACAAACTAGGGGTCCTTGATGTAGAAAAAATTTGCTGTACAATAATGCGAATGTGTCAAGGCCGTTAATTTACAGTAACCATATACAGCTGTTCGTTGGTTTCAAAAATCACATTAAAAACAAGAATTTTGCTCTATTCATAATTATAAAAAAGAAATATTTAAAATCATTAAATTTAATTTAATTTTTAAATATGATTTTATTATATAATAAAAAATTTATCATTCAAATTTCGATTATTTTAAAATAAATATATATTAATATTTATAAGATTGAATTAATGTTAAAAGAAAAGTTCTTGATTTTCGTTTATTTTATTAATAAATTTCAATATTTTCAATTTCTATTAACTTTCTATATATATTTTATAATAAATAAAAAAATTAAAAATAAATAATTTTTTTTCTCAAATTTCAAATGAAATTAAATAAACTAATATAAGATTTATTAATATGTATATTATATTCATTCAATAAAATACAAATGATTTAGTTATATGAGTTTTAATATAATTTTAATATTCAGTAAATAGTTGTACTTTGATACTATATATCACTCAATAATGAAAATAAACAAACGTTTACTATTCGAGAATATCTATTAAGCTATAAGTAGTAGAGGCTTATCCATCTTAGCCTCTAGATATTTTTCAATCGTGGTTGAAGAGAGTATTTCAAAGGCTTGGAGTCCATAGACTAAACGTAATATATCAGCTGAACCAATCTTGAAGGCCGACCGCAAGGTCTAGATTCTCCCTAAGACCCGAACGACACCTAGATTGCAACTGAACCTATTATTGCAACGAAATCTTTGGAACATCAACGATGTATGTCGCAGCGATGCTTACTATAGGGGTGGCGGCCGCGGATCTGAATCACGTGCTTGACCTTGAGAGGCCGGCGCTTGTGAATATGGTTACATGATGAAGAGAATATCTGCAAATAAAGTATGATTAGCCATTAAATCCAAGAATAATCACCCAATAGAAACGTTCATCGAAACAGATCTTCATCGCTCTAAGCCTCCTAGCTCTCATTTTATCATGCGAAATTCATATGAAGATATGTGCGGAGAGGAATCGCTCGAAGTGATGTTCCGAAGCCTTCAGTCCCCTAAGGATGCCGACCAATAGTCAAGGTTCTATGAAATGAATGATGTTGCAACGTACTGTTTTGTGAAACCAAATTTGTCGATCCTCCTTGGAGCTCACAAGACAAACACCCTCAGACTATCAAGCAGCGAGAGTTTAACAACTTGCTATGCATCTCCATTCCCTTCAAGGGGAAAAAACTGTTCTTGCAGGAATCTCGAAAACCAAAAATTCCTCTTCCTCATTTATTCTAGATTATAATTGACATGCCTCATAACACCTTTGAGTTCTTATATTCTGCATTTCATCAGGCCTTTTGTTCAGAGTATTCGAGCTATACTCATCAGAAGTTGCACAAAGTGCGCAACCTCGCCGACCCTCCGACTCAGTCCGGAACCACCAGTAGCGCTATTTGCACAAGTTATGGTCTGAGGCATACGGGGGCAAATATCAGTTTCCAGACGAAGTGAAAGATTTGTTTGATTGTGTTGGAGAGCCTGCCATGAAAGCTTGTAAGCGAAAAGGCGACATACAGACTATATATTGTGAGTGTACTCCTGAATAAAGCACCTGGCATTCCGCAAGAAAGCCTCAGTAATATCAACTTTGCAATTATCAAAGTTCGAGACCATGAGTATGCGACCAGAATTTGATGCGACTTCCATTTTTCGCCCTCTCAAACATTTCCGCAGAGATAGACTGTTCAACAAAAGAAATGGGAGCTGAATATTGGCACATGGATTTGTTTGCGTCATGAAGACTGAAGGAGCCAGCAGCGTGCGAGCTAGACGTACTGCATGTCTGGGTAGAAAATATCTCGCTATGAATGCAACGACAATATATTGGAGATGCCTCGTTACCGATCCAGCACCCTAAGCATAGCATACCAACCCAGAATAAAACTAGATTATTTCCTTCTTCTGTTTGATGACATATGTCCTATTGGTTTTTGCCAACCACATCAATACAAACTTTACCAACCAAGTACACAAATACCATATAAAACAAGCTAACCCCAATATTTTAAGTCACTTAATCAAAACCCCAAAATTTGTTGTTCTTTTTCAAACATATGAACCTCATCATTGCCGATCAAGAACACCGATATCGGTACCATATAAAACTGGCCAGCCCCGGATAACAATAGCTAATCGCCATCATCTACTCGAACGCCCATCGTCTGTTGTCCATTCCCAAACACACCCTATGGTGACAAATATTACAAATGAAGAGAAATTCAATATACATCCTCATATAAATTTTTATTAAATATATAACAATATTAATCTCTCTTTTATTATCAACAAAATATTGATTTTGTTAATAACAAATATTATTAGTACAAAATTTAACTCATTTATTATTGAATTTTAATAGAAAAAAAGAAAATAAGGGCTTTTAAAGGTCTTCAAGATTCTAAGATCTTCGAATATTAGAATTATAGGAAAAGTAAATGGAAGAATATATACATAAAGGTTAGAAAGAGGTTATAAAGGTAAATAAAAGCTAAGAAAGAGAAGGAGAAGAACAAGTATAAAGATTAGAATAAATAAAAGGTATTAGTCAAAAGTCTAAAAAGGGGGTCTATTCTTCAATTAAAAGTTTTACCACTATACTATACAATGCAGAATATATTAAATAAATAATCTGATTTTAATACAAATAAACCTTTTTATTTGAAAATGATTACCTTAAATTAAAAGTTAGAATTAACTTTCGAAATTCAAGCAATTCATTAAGACCTTATTAATTAAAATAAGCTTCGTAAACTATAAAGATTTAGATTAATTATATTAATACTTTAAAAACGATTTATTCAATATGTAATTAAAGGATTGAAGAATTTATTACAATAATAAAGAGTGTACTTCATTAAGTACTAATTCTGCCACCACAGGGACATGAATTTTATTATTATCAACCACGTACATCAACACTAGTGCCAATACCATATAAAGCAAGCTAACCCTGAATGATAACCGCTCGCCCCTTCATCTACTTGAACATCCATGATATTTTGTCCTTTTTCGAACACATAAACTCCATCGTTATCAGCCAAGGATTACAAAGACCATACAAAGCAAACCAATCCCGTATGGGAATATTTCATCTCCTCCATCAACTCAAACACCAGTAACTTTCTGTCTTGTTCCCGGCGCATGACTGCCATCACTACTCGCGGTCACCCGTTGAGATTCTCTCTTAACAATCTTTGTCTTCTGGGCTGGCTTTTGACCGACCGCCCCCCCCCCCCCCCCCCCCCCCCAAGTTTAAACATGTCATTTTCATCACGACCGATTTGTATGTCACGAAGTAATTCTTCTCTCGTGATATGTATGGATTCGTCGAAAATAGAGAGATCCTCTCCACTTTCAGTCAGAGCTACTATCCGTTCATCAAGAAGGAAATCGCGAAGGGTAAAGGATATGACTGCTTCGGTAGGAGAGCCAGATAGTGTGCTATCCATTTCACAGATAGCCTGGTTGAAGACAAGTATTATTTTGTGATAGAAAAGTTAGGTAAGGATACAACCTTGAATGGATTGAAAAGTGGAGAGGGTAATGAGGGAGGGGAGATAATGTACGAAACATGCCTCGAGATAGAGCAGAAAAACAAGAGGGCCTACCATATTAGAATCTTTCCTTCCTCGAATGACAATTTCATTTTCGTCCTCCGTGATATCCAATCTGAACAATCGCACCACAGCTGATCTATCAATTATGACTTCACCATTACGTGGGTAATGCATATCGAGAATGACAACTGCTTTGGTTGTGTTCAAGGATAAGAGGAGATATTCCTCCCCTATCCTATCTGTTTCCTTGCCATCTTGACTCCATGCATTCTCAAAAGCAACCAGCGGATATTTGGGTGTTTCAAACAGTACTTGATTTATTACCGGACGGATGAGTTTGGATTGTCCATCCGGTCTTCAGACAGTACCCTTTCGTCTTATTTCATAGTCGGCTACAAGTCGTGTCTTCCTATCCAATCTCGCTTCCACTTTTCGTTTTGCTTGTTCTGCTTCAGCAACCTCGTATTCTGCTTGCAATGCCTCCAGTTCTTGTTCATTGATCCGTTGTTCGTAATCCTCATTTTCCTGTACCAACTTTATCGGGGTATCGAGGTAACATAAGGGAGCAAGTCTTGGACGCTTGGTGCACTTCCGTAGCACGTCGATCAACTTTTGTTGTATTCGGGCGGTATTCAGTTGAATGGGAATGTTGTGTATTGGACTTGGCATTTTTATTGTCAGGGTAGAGTTGTATTCGAGACATTCAATACTGGTATCGTCCTCGCAGAACGATGATAAACTCCAGTCCTCTTCGATTAAGTCGGGTACCCTACTTTCTGGCCACCCCTCTTTTACGCCACTCATTTACACCAAAAATCGCTTTTTTAGCTTATTAATAACTTTTTTATGTATATACAGAGTTGATCGAAAATTTATATAACATAACTTGACTAGAAGTGGGTCATGTCATGATATAAGTCAAAATCACCCCCTCATTTCTTTATTTTACATGTTTATTCAATACATAATAGATCGAAAGTCATTAAATCATAGTGAATCGAAAGATAATATTCAAAAGGCTATAGAAAGTCTAAAAAATAAACAATTTACTTCAATTCGAAGTGCTATTATTCATTTTAAGATTCCGAAGTCAATCTTAATAAATTGAATGACTGGACAACAATTACACTTTCAATCTCACAAATCCTTTCAAAAACTTTCCAATATGGAAGAGAAAACTCTAGTACAATAAATCTCACGATTAACAGTTACTAAATACCCTACAACTTCTAGATTATTAAAAGAAATAATCCAAGAAATTCTAAATCAATATATCATTTTCGCATCATCATTTACCCCTCCATTCTTTCAATCAAATCATATAGGTCAACAATGGATTTATAAATTCTTAAATCAATATCCCAAACTTAAAGGAATCTATTCTTATAAATTAGAATCTGTAAGGTATAAAGAAACCACATTTGAAACAATTTTAACATGGTTTTCAATATTTCAAGCACAAATCGAAAAACGATATTATAAACTCAAGAATATATATAACATAAATGAAATAGAATATACAATTGGAGAAATAGAATCAACACATATAATCATGGATTCTACTTTCAAATCGAATTGGAAGGTTACAGTAGGAAAGCAAGAGTGGATAACTGTATTGAAATGTATGAATACAGATGAAGGCTCTTTGCCCCCTATGATTATTTTCAAGGCTCAAAATACTAATACTGCATAGATTTCAACTAACATTTCTCCAAATTGGTATTTCTCAACAAACAATAGTAAATAGACTTCTAATAGTTATGACTTTGAATGAATATATAAGGTTTTTGAGTCAGAATCTCGAAAAATATTAGGAGATCAGTCTCGATTATTGATTATGGATAATCATTTTAGTTATATTACAGGAAGTTTGATTGCTTTCTATATTGAAAAGAAGATTGATCTTTTTATTCTACTATCTCATTACTCGTATTTACTTCAGCCATTAAATGTTGGAGTGTATGGACCGATGAAGCGATATCATGCCCAAAAGGTTGATCGATACTTTTGAGTAAGAATATAACAAATATAACGATCTGATTGAGTATAGCTTTTTCAAAAAATAAGAGAAAAAGGTTTTACTTGTTAAAATATCAAAGTGAATGAAAAGGAGTAGATTTGAATTCATTTAGTTCTCATCAAATTCTAAATAATCTTCCAATCTTGTTTTTATCATTACCTTCCATTTCAAATACATTAGCAAACCTAAAAGATCTAGATCTCTTTTTACTTAATAACTTTCCCCCGAATAATATTAAGCTGCAACAAGCAAATAAGGTATTTAATTCAGCTTTATCCACTAATAATCTGCTTACTTCTCTAGTACAAAGATATGCAAAGCGAATAACTTATCAGATTGAAAGTTTAAATACTAAAAATGCTATTCTTCAAAAGGAACTTCAAGAATATAAAAAGTTACTTGAAATATAGAAGAAATGAAAAAATGAAAAGAGAATAAAATTAAAAGGTGAATTTGTATTTAATATTGAAGAAGTATTGAAAATTATCGAAAAGGCTGAACAAATATTCTTATTAAAATAATGATGTGGTAGATCATCCAAGCGTTAAATTGATTAGGTAAAAGGAGAGATGGAAGAGGAAGAGGATAGTGATAGTTCAGTTGAATCAGTAATAGTTATAGATTACCCTGTAGCATGTAGGACAAGGTCAAATAGGAAAATATGATTTTTGTGATCCATATCATGACATGACCCACTTCTAGTCAAGTTACGTTATATGAAATTCAGATCATTTTAAGCTTATTCTGAAAATTTCAGATTTTTAGAATTTTTCTAAATGGAGATCTAAAGCTTTAAAATATCGTTTTTTTTAATTTATATAGAAATTATAACGTAGTTTATCAGCATATAGCCTATATCAGTATATAGCCCACTTTCAACTCAATTTACACCTTTTTCTTTCAATACACATTTTATCAATAATCTATCATAAATTCGAATAATCAAGAAGTCTGTATACTCCTTGTTATTGAAGTTATTTAAAAAGATAAAAAACAAAGTATTTGAATTTATTTATTTATTTTTTATTTATATTAATTAACGTCTGTCTTGAACCTCCCTAAGGGTATTTAGACGTGCTAAGATAAGGGACTATTTGAGCGGCGTGATCGTCGCAACCGAATTTAGCAATTTAACTTCAATGCCAGGGGCTGTTCGCTCCTCTGCAGGTGCGATCCACTTCTGTTTCCAGAAGGGTACGTCTGATCCGGGTTCTTGTTAGGGTAGAGCTTGGTTCCCGGGTGGATAGGCTCGTTGTGGGCTCCGATCCCTATGGTGAAGGAGAAGAAGTGGGAGTGGGTTGCTATTTGTTTAGCCGAGCGGCAAGGCTCTTATATTGTATATTGGGTTTGCGGTTTTTAGGGGTGTGGTATATTCGAGTGATCAGTTGAGTGGTAAGTTTATAAAAGGGGCGGCGGGCTTTGTTGAAAAGATGGTCGCTTTCTAAGGGTCCTTTAGTAGTTAGGACAGATCTGAGTGTAGAACTCTGAGTCGGTAATCAGCTGAGTGAGCTTGCTAGGTGTGTGTAAGAGTTTCTTGATATATGTGATCGCCTGTTTGTTAGATTGTATTTCTACAGGGGCCAGGGGCCAGTCTGAACGTTTTAGGTTGTTTATAGTGCATTTAAAGAAGTGATATGGTTCCTTAGCGCTGCCGCATGAGCAGTCCAGCTTGTTGTTTTGATGACCAAATCGCTGATGGTAAGCGGCGTAGTCGCCATGACCTGTTTTCATAGCTAGTAGTCGGTGAAGGACTGCTCTTGGCAGAGTTAGTTCCTTCGGCTCCTTTGTGTTGTACTTGGGAGACCATTCTTTATAATTAGCAGAGAGAGAGGGATTCATCTCTTCCCACCACTCAGTCTCTGCGCGTAGGCGCTTTTGGCGAACGATCGTCCGGACACCGCTAATTGTTGGTAGCTTGTCGATCGCCTGGTCCATGGGTCCAATTGCGCCTGCGTTTGCTAGGCGGTCTGCTTCCTCATTCCCTTCGATCTCCATGTGACCAGGTGACCACTTCACTCTAATGTCAAGTTGTTTCATTGCCTTATGGCACTTATGGAAGGCCCATTGCGTTGTGGGCGGCGCGTTTCCGCGAACACCCCAGATGACCGATGTACTGTCAATACACATCCAGATCCGGCCACTCGGGGGATCTTTAAACGTGCTGATCAGGTGCTCCAGCCCTCGCCACGCTCCGATCGCTTCTGCATCGAACACATGTGAGTCGCTCCGGATCTGCTTGGATCCGGAGGCTAATTGAGTGCCATTGTGATATATTACATATCCGTATCCGACACAGTGTTTACGATCAATGGTTTGTTCTGATCCGTCGGAGAAGATCGTGTAGTCCTCAGGTGGGAGTTGCAGCCACCACTCTTTGAAGGCTTGAGCTGCTTCCTCTTTGGTTAGCCCTTCCGTCGGATCCGTTCTGCAGCCTATCGAGAAGTGCGGGCGAAGTAACTTCGGCCGTTGGGTCTCTGGGATGAGGAGGCCGAGCCGTTGGATTCTTGTAAGGGGCCTTCTAGCTGTGCCTGCTCCTCGCCCGCGCTTTCGTACTGTGGGTTTCAGGCGGCTCACTAGCAGGTGCTGATTGTCGACCGTTTTTAAGCGGAGTGCGAATCGCAGCTTGGCGTGTTCTAATGCGACTATCCCCGATGGCAGGCCGGCTTCTTTGATAAGAGCTGCGGTCGGTGTAGTTTTGTATACCGGGATCGCTCCTCTTGCGGCGGTATTGATCACTTTGTTGATGTAGCGGAGATGGCCTTTGATACCTGTGCCTGTGCTTGCTTCGCTTTGACCGAGGCTCGGTTTGAGTTTGCCAGCGTACCATACTTCAGTGCCGAATAGTGCTACTGGAAGGACGCAGGTGATCACTGCTTTTCTCAAGTAGGAAGCTGGTGGCCCATGCAGAGTGCGGGCGATCGACCTGATGTGCGAGGCTACTTTCATGGCTTTCGCTGTGCGTGTTTTGACATGTTGTAGAAACGAGAGCCGACGATCGAAGAAGACACCAAGCCATCTTAGAGTGGGTTGAGTGCTTCCACTCGTTACAATCGGTACTGGAGTGATTATCAGATCCGGGTTAACGACTAGTGGTGGGTTGGTGGTATCGTGTCGTCTGGTTATATGGAGTAGCTCGAATTTCTCTGAGGCGAAT